GAGTTTTGCAGGTGGATTTAGGCAGTCGGATTACAAAGAAACCGAGCTAGATATTTCATTGTGTTGCCCAACTAAGCGTAAAGTTAAACTTACTGAATTGGGTAACACCAACATAACTATAAAATGTCCTTAAGAAAAAAACAGTTCCCAAAGGAACATCTCTAGTTCAAGGGTTTGTATGTATGCACTTTCATTTAGAAAGCATGCTAGGTGCATCAAGGCACCTCGTCTAGGGCTAGGAATGGATATATCTAGAGAAATCATGTACCTAATATTGAAACATAGCATCTTCTGTCTAGAGATTTAAAAAAAAATACTTTCCTATTTTTTTTTGAGCTGAATGTAAATAAAAAGGTCTTATCCAGTATCCAGTAATTGTAATTGGGAAATTATTTTCTCCTCTGTGCTTCCTACAGTGGCTCTTAAAATTTCTATTTGGTTTATCAGTCAAATTTCACCCTCCTTTTCCTTGTTTTTGCAGAAGTAGAAAATAATTATCTGGTTTTTTTAAAGCACTAAAGTTGACAAAGAATTTAAATTTCAAGCCTTTCCCCACGTTTAAAAAAAGTGTACCCTTGTAGAAAGTAAATTTCAGTTCCTTTCCATTTCTCTGTAGTCACCCAGACTAGCACAAGATTAATAACTGGCTATTTTGAAACAAATATTCATCTTCAGTACTGGGCATATAGGCAAAGTGGTCTTGGTCTTGAGTTTGCTCACTTGGGAAAGAACACACTTGAAGGCTTGGCGCAGTATCTCTTCACTGCTGATTATCTTTCTATCAAAATTGGATAATTATAGCTGTTTCACACACTTCCAAATTAATTATTAGCTATTATTAAATCAAAAGTTGTGCATTCATTTCTTTCGTTCTCAGAATAATGAAATAATCAAATCATCAATTCAACCTTAGCTGGATAATTATTTCATTGAATTATTTAAAGCATACACTTATCTATGCTTCTGCCTCTATACTGTCATGTCCTCTGCTGTTGAGAAACAAATTTGATTACCACATTCTGTAAAATTTCATGGTTCTTACAGTCCTCCCCCCAAACCTGTGTGCTCGCTCCGCCGACAACTCCAGAATTCTCCAGCACCTCCAGCTCTCACTGCTGCGGCCTCGCCATTTGTGGTTCCTTGGCAGTGCTCTTGCTAAAATCCGCTTGCTGCTGATGGAAATGAGTCCAATGAGCTTTAAACACAGGTTTTAATCAGATGCTTGATTTATGCAAGGTACCACTCTTCGTATCTGCTGTGACTCTTGCAGTGGTGCCTAAGCCAAAGCTCTCTAACCCACATCCCAGCAGTGTGCCACAGAACATTTCTGTCATCTGCTCACTTTCTCTGGGCATATGTCTCCTGTTTGGAGGTTTTCTGTCACCCTGAGACCATCTAGCTAGAGGCCCGGAAACAGAGGGTCCCCACCAAGCACTGGCATCAACATTTATCTCCTCGTTTTCCAGAGCTTATCAATAAGAGGAAGTTGAAGATTGTGGGGCAGACACACAGGCTGAAGGTGGGACTTTCTGACCCATCTTTGAGAGATGAATGCAAGGTGCCACATAAAACATATTTATGAGGGCTAGTTAGTGGCATAAGTAGCTACAGAATTAATATACTTCCCACAAATTTAATTAGCAGAAAATTTTACATATATATATAATAATCAAGCATAAACTTTTCATTTATTCAACAGAAACTTTTCCCGTTCTGTATCTACACTCACTGACTTGCTGACCTCATGCTGTCTATGCTGTCTCATGGCTTTAATTACCTTCTGCAGGCAGCTGACTCACACGTTTTAATCTCCAGCCCAGACTTCTCTAAATCCCAGAGCTGTGTATCTGACTACCAGCATCACCTCTCCACCTGGATGCCTATTAGGCATCTCAAACTTAGCATGTCCACAATCAAAACTCCTGACAGCCCCTATTATTCCTGGTCCCCCAGAACAAAAGACCTGGTGTTTCAGAACTCCTCATTACTCACATCCCGCAGGCCCTCCACCAGGAAAGCGTGTTGCTTCTAGCTTCAAAATGTATCCAGAATCAGAACACTTTTCCCACCTTTGCTGCTACCAGTGGTCCAAGGCTCTGTGGTCTTACTTGGGTTATTTCACTAGCCTCCTAACTAATCTTGCTTTTGTCCTTTTCCTCTTCCGGGCTAGTTTCAACAGAGCAGTAGGAGTGAGCCTGTAAAATGTAAATCAGATCATGTCACCCTTCTGCTCCACTGACTTCTCATCTCACTTTAATAGTAAAATGACAACCCAGTTGAAAAACGGACAAAGGACTTGAATAAGCATTTCTCCAAAGATGTACAAGTGGCCAATAAATGCATGAAAAGGTGCTCAACATCATTACACATCAGGGAAATGCAAATCCAAACCAGAATGAAATACCACGTCACAGGGGGAGAGTATAGCTCAAGTGGTAGAGTGCATGCTTAGCATTCACGAGGTCCTGGGTTCAACTCCCAGTACCTTCTCTAAAAATAAATAAACCTAATTACCTCCCTCCCACCAAAAAACAAACAAACAAACACCAAATAAAATAAAATGCTGGCTTAAAAAAAAGAAGAAAAAATTATTAAAAAAATAAATATCACATCACAGCAACTAGAATGGCAAAATAAAAAAGATAGACAATAGCAAGTGTTAGCAAGCATAGGAAAAAGCCCTTGTAAGTTGCTAGTGGGAATGTAAAATGGTGCAGCCACTGCAGGAAATTTTGGAAGTTCCTCAAGATTTTAAACATTGAGTTACCATATGACCCAGCAAATCCATTCCTAGGCACATACCCAACAGAGATGAAAATATATATCACACAAAAACTTGTATACAAATGTTTACAG